AAATATTTATTCTTAACGGAATGATTTTATCCAAGCGGGATGCATAGGAATGGTTTGACGAATCATTAGGATTATGGAAGGCTGAGTACATGTAAGTAGATCTTCTGAACAGTTCATATTTAAGTTGTGGTAACTTAATGGGTTATTTAATTTTTAAAAATTCAATTAATCACACCAGTATTATCTGCGTACAAGCTTATTACACAGATAATTCGTAAATCCTGGACCTCTCTATGTCTAAAGAGATACATATTATATATCGCCAATTAAGGAAACCGAATCCAAGATTAGCTTGCTCTTGTATTGCTGCATGAAGAAGCCTTTCTGTCTTGACTCAATTTAATCCCACAAGGCAGCTTCGATGCAACTTAAAACATTTTAAAAGCAATTGGAATGTACAAATCAGTATGCTTTTAAGTTAAAACCTGAAAGAGCCTTTATGTACTTGTGCTGATAGTAGCGCTCAACTTAATGATATTGCCGAATTAAAGCAATTAATACAACTATTTCATGAACCAAAATACAAGCAATCGAGACTGTCCATGAATTATAATCACGGACGGGTTCAAGCTGCAAATGATATTCAGCTTTAAGTTCTTCTCCGGGCTAGATTGTAATTAACACAGAAAATTACACGTCATTGAAAGTATCATAACTGGACTCGGTCGACTAATGGTGGAAAAATTGGCATATAAATTCCAGAATGATGCAATCTTTAAAGAAAAATGTATTTTTATGAGCAAATAACGAAGCAAGAAATCAGCTAAGGTACCAATAGTATAGAATTTATTAATAGTTATTGAATCAAAAATGGTAGGCCACGCAAACAAATCAGCAGTTATGAGTAATGAAAATAGACCTTGGAGAAAGCATATAGTCTCTTTGGAGCAGAGGAAAATTAGATGAGCGAACAGAGCCTCTTCGCGAATAGTTTTTTTTTCAATATAACGACTGAGATGTCTACACCAGCTTTATTGGTCCATCGCCTAGGTCAGAAAACTAGAAAGCCTCGAAGAGTTATTCTGTTGAAATAATGCAAGCCAGGCTGGTACTTCTTCCCGACACAACTTCGATTATAGACATTACATGAAGGGAATGCTTAAAACATTTAACTATTTGGGTTCAGTGTTAAACTAAACAGGGTTAGAGAAGGTGTAGTGTTTATAGTTAAAAGCATATTACAAGGCGGTTGCAATGTTTAGGTTTAGAGCATACCGGCAATACGATCAGAAGATACTTTATTAAGAGAGGCCGCAGATTTAAGATCAAGATAAGTTTGGAAGCTCAAATACCTTTAATTTATTTTGGAAATCAAAACCACAACTAACAAGATAGACATACTCAAAATATGCGTTTCACAAGTCGCAGGCTCTCGGCTTGATTCTGCACTAGGAAAAGCATGATAAGCTTGCCCTTCTTCCACCTTTTAACCGCTTGTAAACTATCTCAATTAAAGACCTGTTTGTTCTAGTACTGCTTGTTTTGATTAGTTTCATTGTTGAACCGCAACATTTGTGGGTTGGCACACAAGAGACTATGGCATAGGAAGTTATAGACTTGGTATTACGGATAGAAAGAGGATAGACGCGGCGGAGACTACAGCTAGTTGGCTGACCGTAAGCCTATTTTACCATAGACGTGGTCCCATGAAGCCATGGCTTGACCATGAGAATTACCCGGGGGCATTAGCCCGCAAGTCAGTCTCCCAGACGCAGAGTGTGGGAAATAAAACATCGAGTAGCACAGATGGGGTGGCAGGGGTCGAGTGAAATACTTGAACCAGTGAGATAGCAGACGGATCCTACGGGGCAAGAGAAGACTCTGATAAGAACTTTGGAAGGAGGACTGCGTAACAATAGGACAGATTCTGAGTAACATTCCTAGCACAATGGTGAAGAGAGGTGAGGGGCGAGAAAGCCAGTGTGGAGTGTGGAGAGTTCTCATGAAAGCCGCACAAAAGGGCACATCATTCCGACATTTAAATAAGCAAGTAAAAGACTGTGATAGTGACGCGGTAATAAGAGGACATAGAATTGGTGATTAACAGAGGGGAGAAGGAGGTACCTCGATTGTTCAGCAAACAATTAGTCAAAGGATCGGCTTCACTTATTTGTCTTTTTGACGAATTGTAGTGTTGTGCTGACTGGAAAGACTCACTGACGATGTCGATGAAACGTCTAGGAATGTACCACGTCCACGGTCCGACTCTGGAAATTAGCATGCATACAATGGACTCCGGACTAGGTGTTTTCCTCTGGGCCTTCCTGCCAATATGACCAACTTGCGAAAACAAGGTCAAGCACCTTCTATACAACGAAAGAAGACTGCGACCACACAAAAGGCCACACCATCTTCCTCTTCATACCTTCGATATTTTGACTCTATTTCCGCAACTTGGCCACGTTGTCAAGGTGACCTAGACGAACATACTTTGTCTAAAGTACTCTGCCATAGTTTTCATGATAATTTTCTGCGTCAGACTATATACTTGATAGATTTGGGAATATCTGATGCAGGAAATTATCATAAGCACTATTACAGAGAACTCTTGACAATTTGCTTTCGTATAGATATCTCTGAAATCACGATTAAGTTGCGAAAACAAAGTTAAATCATTGCAATCACGAGGTCAATTACGATTATGATTTACTAAAGGGCAGTGGAGAGCTTAAATGCAACAGTCATCCCTAAGTCTAGTTTTTAGAAATTTAGTGAATGAAAATCGTGTTTCATATTAAGAGTAGTGTAATGACTAAATCACGGAACAGCGACATACACTTACCTTTTTGAGCATTTGACCATGACAGATGGCGCAAACCCAATAGAAGCCAGGGTAGAAGATAAATTGAATAAACCGATTCTTTGATTTGTATTTAATTCATAAGCTGCAATGGGGTCAATAAAAGGATAAATAAATAAGAAAGTCCTGTCAGAAAGCAAAGGATGCAAATAAGTAAAGCCCGAGGGGAGGAGGGAAATAAATATTTATCTTAATCGCTTAGGTAATTTTGTGGCATAACAAAAGAATAGCAAATAACTCCGCAGCAAAGGTAATTTAGCCCCACCTTTAACCACTATTTTTCTATAATGGTGAATAAATTCCGAAGTCTTCCGCTTACAAGCCATTTGTTTTCACCATCCTACCCTGAAAACCTATATATTATCTCAGCAAAACTAAAATTTGGCCAAATATATCAAGAGAGAGTATCATGAGACCCTAATGAACGGATGAAAATCTGAGGTGCTAGGCTGGGTGTAAATTAAAAATAAATAGCATTCCCTGAGCACACATGAAGACGCCAAATATTGTAAATAAATAATTTGCTTAGAGATTGAGTGAAATTTATCGTGCTTAGTAGGCTATAGGTAACAATCCAGCAGATAGCCCAATTATCTATGAAGCTTAAGTATAAAAACATGTTATATTATGAAAAGCAGTCAACTTGTCATCCCAAGAGCCGAATTCCCGACAGGCTCTATGATCGACCTATGGAATTCATTCAAAGGCTTACCAGGTGTCTGAGTCCATGCAGTTAATACAAATATTTATATAGAATCTAAATAAATATAGCTGATTTACTCAAAAAGCCATGTTAATAATAAAAATTATGATCCCATGGCTTTACAGGGACGCTGAGTAGGCGTGAAGCGGTAACAAGACATAAACTTACTGAATTAAGATGGAGTAGGAGTTTCGATGTACATATTTGATATGCAGGTTAGCCTAATCAAGTACTTGGGAATGAAATTGAAGTAATGGAATACGCTGTTGGCATTGTGTTTGAGAAACTTGGGCAAAAGTATTCCAATACAAAGAGAATAGACACTTCCAGCATATATGCAGACAGCCAATCCAACTGAGATTATTGGTCTTTACCAGCAGATCAAAAATAAGCAGGCATTAACAAGCAGGTAAAGGGAAAAATAGGGTAAATACATAGGCATGGAATCATTTTTAACAAATACCCCAATCGAGCAAACATTAAGTAGATAGAAGGCTGATTACTTTGGTTCACAGGAATAGAAATGCAGAGAAGATTAACACTCTCAAGACTTGAGCCTTCAGGGGGTTTCAAAAATGATATACGATTTTTAGTTATAGGACAAGGAACTTGAATAGTCAAGAAGCCATGAATCACACTAAAAAAAGTAGAAAGTGCTGCCCAATAATTCTATCCAAAAAAGATTAAAATCAAAATTAGCAAATGTGATCTGACAACTAGCTCCCAGAGTGAACAGATAAATACTAAGAGAAGATGTATAAGCAAGTAAAATAGATGATGAAGGATGGCACTGATGATATGTCGCCAATGATATAGCTACAAAAAGTGCAGCAAGGGCTAGTTATAGAAATAAGAATCTGGCCAAGTAGTGTAGATAAAACTGAGGTTGGTGAGTGAATACAGCGGCATATGGCAACCAGTGAGGCAGCTAAAAAAATTAGGGGAGGGTAGCGAAAATTGTCTAAGATTACGCGAAACACGAGAGAGGCGGCATTGGAATGTGATTTACAAATTTATGCTACGCGTCTTTAAAAAGCGTTTGGGTGGAAATTTTCAAGGGATGGAATGTAGAATAGCCAAGACAAGGTGAAAGTCAAAAGGTGAAGATAATCAGAAAATAGCTAACGAAGCTTGTGAAATGCAATGAAACTTTTTTTGCAATACTAGGTCAGAAGAATGGATAAGAGTGAGCGTGTACGTCTATAAAATATAATATAAATGAGTTGTTTCTAAAATAAAAATGAATAATAGAAAGTGATTTTGAATTAGGTTAAAGTAGAAAGAGATAATTTACAATGATTCCCGAGTTGTTAGTTTATCTGTATTTCTTGTCATTACAGATGGTGAGGAAGCAATGTTGAATATGGTTAGAGGTTTTTCTCTTACTAACAGACACTACTGGAATCCTTGACTGTAAATTTGAGGTACTGACGGCATTCGTAAGTTTTATTTGCTAAACTGCTGACATTATTGCTAATTACACTTTTCACGGCAACTCTAGTGAAGACAAGGCTGAAATCCGGTCGAATGTCTACGCTGTTGGTGTTGGCAATGCTTAATCGGATGACGATGGCTTATATGTGAATGATGGAAGATAGGAGTAGACTTATAAGAATAAAGTGCAGTTGCATTGGAATTAGAGCCAGGATTCCTATTAGGCGACAAGGTAGATGTTGTTGTTATAGCCGTGCTGGTGGAAGTCATCAGACTGATTGTAGTAGATTCAAAAGGTGCAGGACAAGACGATGATGTGAGGCATGCCGAAGATCCGGGAATTAGACGCCGGCAATTCCGTTGGACTGCACAATTCCGTCGGGCAGTCAACTGGCTGCCAGCAAGACTGGCGATCACTTCATTGGCAGACGGCCGAGCCAAGTGGTCGAGACGACAGCAAGCCAAAGCCAGTCGGAGGAGGAGGCCGGGACAACTAGTTGGAGCCTGAAGGCTAGCGTAATCGAGGCCAAAGGCCTTTAACGAAGTGGATGTGTTTAAGAGAGGCGAACATAGTAATGAGAAGAGAGCAATAAGAGATAGGAAGATAAAAAAGAGGATAGATGAGGTGTAGAAAAGTAAAGCGGCAAAATAATTAAAAAGGAGGGATATAAATTGAAAATAAATAGAATATAAAACGTTACTGATAAATCTGAGGAATAACATATACGCGAGAACAAAGAATAAGGTAAAGAGCTCTAGCTAATCAAATTTCCTGCAGAAAATACTTACATATGCGACGTAGATATATGCAAATAAATCTTAACATAGCATAGCGAAAGAAAGTGAAATACAGGAAAAGAACAAAAATATGAGATGACGCCATTATTAAGTGGAAATAGAATCTGGTAAGCAAGAGGACTGTACTCCAAAACTATGGGAAGAAAAATACTGACATATCTTTCATATAATTTGAGAAGGCAGGTGAAAGGGATTCGTAGATTGGCCGCACCGGATACCAAAGAAGGGTTGCCTTAGACTTCTGTCTGCTGAATTGTGCGAAGAACTCGGCTCACCGTCTTACGACCCCGATGACTCCATGCTGAGCTTTCGTCCGTCCTGTGATGGACATCATCAGAGCGCAAAACCATTATTCACGAACAATCATCAGAAATACTAAACCAGAAAATTGGCTGGCTGAGATCATACTTACTTCTTATATATCACTTTGCGATCTGTATGAGAAATTCCACGATTTAGTTGGTTGCTTTATGCTTGGCGTAGTGTTGTTGGTGAATAATGGTTTCTGGCTCTGATAATGTCCTTCATATAACGGACGCAAGCTCAACATGGAATCATCGGCGTCGTATGACGGTGAGCCGAGGTCTTCTTCGCACAATTAAACAGACAAAAGTCCAAGGCAACCCTACTGCTGTATCAGCTGAGGCCAATCTACACATCCCTTCCACCGGTCTTCTCAAACGAAATGAAAGTTATGCAAGTTAAGATTGCTAAGTGAGGTGCTAGTGCAAGAGAGCAGTGTTCAGTTACGGATCCCCAAAATAGCTAAAATTGGTCAAAGGGATTGCTTTCACTTGTCACTTTAATAAATTGTAACTTCGCTAAGGATGGTACAACTCACTGATGATACCGACTACGATGTCGGTGAAAGGTATGAGAATGGACGATGTTGGAAATAACGAATGCTATGGCGAAAGACGCAGGACTAGGTACGTTCTACAAGGCTTACCTGCCGCTGCGACCAAGTTGTAAAAACGAAGTCAAATCAAATCTACGTAGCTAATGGAGACTGCGACCAAGAAGACCACACCATTTTAGTCTTCATATCTACGATTCAAAATACTTTCATTTACTATTAATGTCATGTTCTGATTTGTTCAGCAGGGAGGCTCGTTTTGGTGACTAGGTTCGCTTAGTCTCCGAGCTCCGAATGGTGTTGTGTGAGTTGAGCGATACTTGCTTACTGGCTGGTTGCGAGGAGAGGTGCAATAAAACTGACTGTCGAGTAAAGGCCACTCCAACTTCATACCTTCGATTAAACTGGTCTTAAACCTGAAAATATGCCTATTCTATTACATAACTTCCCTTTTTCCTTTAAATCGCGAGAAGCACAGTCCTCTCCTCTCTCAAGGTAACATTCCCATCAAATTCTATGATACTGGGATTATGTCCCAGCAATTGTGTTGATTGATATCCCCGGTGGTCAAGCATACAAATCAACTCCCTTCCAGACATATACACGAAGAATGTATACAAACACCAACTCACACCCGCTTAGGACCTCAATCTGGCTTATCTATGCATTTAGCCTTTAATTTCATATCCTACATCACAGAGGTGAACCTCCTGGGTAAACTTAATTTGGCCAATTCCACGTCTGACTCTTCTCACTGCAGTCGCCTTTTCCTGGCTTCCCTTTCTTTCTCATGAGCCGAACTTCGATGATGTCCTTTTCTATTGTTAAACAGTTATCCTGGATCAAAACGTCTTTAAAATGTCTTCTCTGAATGTCCAAGTCTGCTCAGGCAGACTCCGTCTCCGATCCTTCCATATCCATTATTCTGCATAGTCGCTGATGTTCTTTGATCCTTGTTCTGATTGTCCTTCCCGTCTCTCCAATGTATTTTTGTTTACAGTCCTTGCATTTTATGCTATAAACTCAGGAGCACTCCATTTTGTTGACTTCTTCATGTTGTATGAACAAGCTGGCGAAGAGGATAGTCCTTTCCTTCAGGATTTTACGAATGTTCCATTTCCATAGTATTGCCCGTAGCTTCCGAGCCAATTCGCAGGAGGGTAGACATATCCATATCTTCTTCTCTGCTCCACTTGTTTTCCTTTCATAATCTCCGTCCTTCCATCTATTCATCACCAGCAGCATGTTGCGTTGTATTCTTTGTTCTAGATATCCATTTCCTAGAAACATCTGATTTGGTTTTCTTAGTTCCTCTTCCAAGAACTCAGAATCAATGAGTCATACACTTTTTATGATCATGCTCCGGAGT